GATGAAGAGTTTGGGTCGTCTTCGCTATTTTCTGGGTCTTGAGATTTATGATTCCTCTGATGGCTTCTATTTGTCTCAAGCCAAGTATGCCTCTGATCTTCTTGCTCGGGCTGGTCTCACTGATTGCCAAACAGCTTCCACACCTCTTGATTATGATATTCGTCTTACTCCATTGGATGGTTCTCTTCTTGAGGATCCTACGTTATATCGCCAGCTCGTTGGGAGTTTGATATATTTGACTGTCACTCGGCCTGATATAGCTCATGTTGTTCATATTGTGAGTCAGTTTATGGCTGCTCCGAGAACCACACATCATTCTGCTGTGTTGCACATCCTTCGCTATGTGAAGGGCACCTTATTGCATGGTTTACATTTCTCGGCCAGTTCTTCCTTGTCCCTTAGCGGCTACTCTGATGCAGATTGGGATGGAGATCCTACCGATCGTCGCTCCACTACCGGGTATTGCTTCTTCTTAGGTGATTCACTTGTCTCTTGGCGCAGTAAGAAGCAAACCTTGGTTTCCCGTTCGAGTGCCGAGTCTGAGTATCGTGCTCTTGCTGATTCCACCGCAGAACTATTATGGTTGCGTCGATTACTTGCTGATCTTGGTGTCCCTCAGTCATCCTCTACTGCTCTTCATTGTGATAGCCAGAGCGCTGTCAAGATGTTTCATAATGATACGTTTCATGAGCGTACCAAACATATTGAGATTGATTGTCATTTTATTCGCCAGCATGTTACCCATGGGACTGTACGACTTGTTTCTGTCTCCTCTTCGGATCAGATAGCGGATGTCTTCACGAAGTCTCTCCTTCCCGGTCGCTTTTGTTTACTTCTTAGCAAACTCAAGTTCATATCTACTATACCACCTTGAGTTTGAGGGGGGGTGTTAGAATATATTTTGTATATATGGTTATAATATATTTTGTATATATATTGTAGGATTAGATTTAGGCTCATTATGTTCCTATATATGTGTACATGTCTTTTGAATAATATAGAATATATTTTTCCCAAATTCTTACAGTGTGGATGTAATTTTTCATTTTTTTTTATTTTATTATTATTATTATTTTTTTTTCGCTGTTGTGAAGCAGCAACATGTTGTGTGTTACTAAATAGCAATAATGAAGCAAAAACACAGGTCGGGGCGGGCCCCAAAACGGGCCAGGGCATGGGTCCGGCCTGTTGGACCTATCACGGGTCACGAGGCAGGCCAGGTCCACGGGGCAAAAACGTGGGCCAGGTCCGGGTCTGTAGGTACCGGGCCCGACCTGGCCCATTACCATCCAATTCTAAGGAGAAGAAGCGGGCCGAAAAACTTTGGTATTCGTTCGTTGAAATTTGTTTCGACTCACCCGCGCGAGAATCCTCTTCTCTGCCGTGGAAGAGCGCCGCTCGTATTGCTGGAAGAAGCCTCAACCATTGCTGTGCCGGATGTGCTCGGGAACCTGCTCTGCCGCGACATTCTGTTTCGGCTTAGGGTGTTGGTCTCGCCGGAACCTGGTGCTCTACCCTTGGGTGATCTCGGTCTCGCTCGTGAAACTTTGGCCGGAAAACTATAAATAAACTTGGGAAAGAAAGAGAGAAGAATATAGGGTGAAGGCTTGGAAAAATAATTAGTGAATTGGACACTCGGGTTGTTCCATTTTTTAAAGGCAATGAGAAGATTTTTGGGCGTGATTTATGGGCAAACCTTGTATTTGGGGGAGATATGGAGAAGGTAATTTACAGGGATAAATAATGGGAGGGTGCGGATATTTAGGGAGAGATAGAGATTGAGGTGACCAATATTGCCGTGTAAAAAAAAAATAATAACAGAAGCATCGATTTCTTAAGAAACATTACTATAAATGGTAAGTAATTAATGTTAAAACTGTTTGACCAGGATTTTGACTTGCTATTTCTAAAAAATAGTAAATCTGTTTATATATATATATAGATTTATGGTACATAAATATCTAATTGCATTATCTATATTATAGTATTTTTATAGTTAGATGTCTTGTGTTCGCAATGGCATTGCCTCTTGCCCAGGCTATGGGCAAATCACCTCGTATCACATTCGCCATTTAAAACTGGGACATGGTGTTTATTCTTTTGTTTCATCTGTTCTCTTGCCTGTGTGCTTACCACCCATCAAATGCATTATTTTTATCCTCTTGCTTTAATTTCTTTTTTTTTCCTTGTGAAGGAATAGCGTCAATCTTGCTGGGGTCTTCCTCCCGCTGATGGATGGCGGAAAATTGGATGTACTGTTATCACAGGTTGGGGACTTCCTTGTTATCATGTCTTATGCGAGCAAACTTTTGAAAGAACTGTGGTATTTATATTGACATGAACGACACCTAATTTTTTTAATATACTCTGACATGCTGCTGTTTTCCAACAGGGAAAAGAGTATATCCTGATGTTGAGTGATGATAATCTTGCTCAAGTCATTGACCCAAGTATCCTCATCTGAGATCACAAATAATTTTAGTTTATTCAAATTTTATGTTATTATTTTCTTTGTGATATTCAAATCCGCATTGTTGCATATCCTGTCAAGTCTGATTGTAGTGAGAATTGAGCTCCTTAATGCAGGGATTTAGAAATCTTAAATCATTTGATTCGAAATAAAATTGAGTTTTGCCTGGAGGTATGCTTCATAAATTGTGTGACTTGTTATTAAATTTCCGCCATGGCGGCGCCATGGTGGCACCATGGCGGAATGGCGTGCCATTTTTTGGCCTATCCGCCACCCGTTAGCCGTTATACGGCGGATTTGCAATGGCAGCGCCATGGCGGTCATGGCGGAATGGCGCTTATGGCAGAAATCTGGGCTAATTTCTGTTAAAAACTAAATTTGGCCTGTAAAACAGGCCCAAGTACTAAAAAAAAAAAAAGAAAAATAAAACTTTAAAACAAATAAACACA